ATTTACAATATATGTATGGATCCATTTCTGGAATCTATTTTGTATAGATCTATTTACATATCATTATACTAATACTGCATTGTCTTAATTACTGTAGCTTTATAGTGGGTCTTGAAATCAGGTAGTATGAATACTCCAACTTTGTTTTTTTGTGTGTGGCTATTCTCAGTCCTTTGTATTTCCACATAAATTTTTAAATAAACTCGTCATTGTGTATACAAAAGTCTTTTGGGATCTTGATTGGGCACAACTGACATTGTACTAATATTGAACCTTACAACCCATGATATATTTCTCTGTCTAAGCTATCTAAGCCATTTAAGTCTTTCTCAATTTCTCTCATCAATGTGTTTTTAGTTTTTGGTGTAGAGATCTTGCAAATCTTTTGTTAATTTTTTTCCTATCTCATTTTTTACTCTATTAGCTAGGAAGTTTTAAAAAATATTCTCTTACAATAGTCAGAAACACCCAAAACTTAAAGCTCACTTTTAAAATACCTTTAAATTCTTAGCTAAATATTATAAGGTTGGGGCACATATAAGGTTAATACAAAAGAAAATACAAGGATGACGGTAAAGAGAAGCTGTAAGGCAGCTTGTGTATACTCCTATGTATTAGATTGATGTAGTGACAATAAGAGGAGACAGTGGCTAGAAGGGAGCATAGCAGAGCTTCTGAGGTATGGATAACATTCAAGTTTTTCATCTGGGTTAATAGGCATGTTCAATTTGAGAAAATTCAACACAAAGCATTCTTTATCTGTACCCTGCAGTTTGTAATTCAATTTAAAACGTGATTCATTTTTTTTTTAAATCTGAGGTCCTTGACAGTCTGCTGAACTGAACTGTGATTCCTTGCAGGGATGAAAATATTTTATGTGCCACTGGAACAGTCAAGGAAATGCCTAGCGCAAAGATTCTGGAGCTGAAATGCCCAAGGAGAAAGGAATATGGGGGAATATAAGGAGAAAAGAATGTAGATAAGGTGGAGAAAGAAATATGAGGAGAAAATGTGACAGAGCAATTGATATGGAACAATGTTCTCTGACAGAATCAAGGGAAAAAATACTGAGTATTTATTCTTTCTTTCCTTTAGCTCCAGTAATGATATGTCAAAGAGATAGCTTACTTAAGATGTATGATGAAATAACATTAGGACCTAATATACTTATAATGTTATACAATTGCAAAGCATAATTATTAGCATGCACAGGATATCCTGGAACATGTATTCTAAGCCTGAGTCTTATTGAAATTGCCACCTTCTCTATGCTTCCATGTTATTTTGTTTATTCTTCAAGCATTACCACTCATCATGCTGTACTGAAATTACTTGATCGTCTCCCTCACTTAACTGTCATCTTCTAGGGACAAAGGACATTGTTTTACTCAACTCCAAATTGACAAGGCACAGAATATGCTTCAACCTTTGAGTAACTGCTCAATAAATATTTGTTGAATTGAATGAATTTTAGGATGAGCATGCACTTCTTAATGATTTGTACATTCAAAATCTCCTCTTATGGAGAAAAAGAAAATGGGACAACTGTAATAGAATAATAAAAAAATATACTTTTAAGAATCTCCTCCTATAAAACATAAATGCTTCAGTTCACAAATTCTTTGATTGATTAATGTTTATTACTTTATTTGATCATCAAAATCAATTTCTTAATGTGAATTTATTAGTTTATGAACGGTACAAAAAGGCAGTCATTAGAATAACCATTTTACAAATGAAGAAGCTAACTATAATACATAAAAACAACTTGTTGGTGCCCTACAGTTAGTATCAGAGCCAGATCTGGAATCCAGACCTCTAATTTTTTTTTATTCTGGTGATTTCCTCTAAACAACATCACATTTGACAGCAGTCACTCTCTTAAGTTAGCCTATGGAGTTTTACGTCCCAGGCTGGTTTCCACCAGCTCTAACTTGGCTTCTTGACTTCCTTCTTTGGCCATCCCATTCTGCTACTCCTTATTTCTACCTTCACCTCCCCTGCCCCTCCTTTGTCACAGGGAAGAAGGGCTAAATCATTACTATAATATTGTATCTATTCATAAAAATTCATTTTGGCACCTCATATTCCCTTAACAGACAGTCCCCTATATATAATGGTTTGACTTTTGATTTTTTTTCAACTTTGCAATGGTGAAAAATGGATAAGCATTCAATAGAAACCATACTTTAAATTTTGAATTCTGATCTTTCTCTGGGCTAACAATATGCAGTATGATGCTCTCTGGTGGTGCTCCCAGTCAGGCATGAGATCGCAAGGGTAAACAGCCAATCCTCTACACTGTACTCTGTTACCAGCATTTTTTGTTTCAGTCCAAAGCTTCAAATATTCTTCAGGCCCAGTGTACTTTCAGCTGTGTATCCTAATGGTGCCTACCATATAACCATTCTGTTTTTTCCACTTTCAATACATCATTCAATCAATTACATGAGATATTCAACACTTTATTATGAAATAAACTTTGGGTTAGATAATTTCCCCCAACTGTGGTTAATGTAAGTGTTCTGAGCATGTTTAAGGTAGACTAGGCTAAGCTATGATGTTTTATAGGTTAGGTGTATAAAATGCACTTTGACTTATGATATATATTTTTTAATGTAAATTTTTTTTCTCTTACTGGTTCCAGAGAGGGACGAAGGGAGGGAGAAAGAGAGGGAGAGAAATACCGATCAGTTGCCTCCTGTGTACACCCTGACTGGGGACCCAACCTGCAACCCAGGCATGTGCCATGACTGGGAATCAAACACATGACCCTCAGTCTCCAGGATGACACCCAACTAACAGTGCCACACTGACCAGGGCATAATATACATATATTTTTTAATCTTCACCCAAGGATATGTTTTTTATTGATTCAGTGAGAGAAAAATGGGGGGAGAGAAACATCAATCAGTTGCCTCATATACACACCCCAACCAGGGATGAAACCCACAACATAGGTATGTGCCCTGATCAGGAAACTAACCTTCTGGTATACTGGATGACTCTCCAACCAACTGAGCCACCTAACCAGGGTGGCTTATGATATTTTCAACTTAAAATGGGTTTATTGGGACATAACCGCCTCGTAAATTGAGAAACATCTATCTATGAAGTGGGGGGACCCCAAGAAACTGGAATTTATTTATAAAGATTTATATTTAAACTTAAGTCATCTTCAAAATGCTCTACATTTGATGCAATACTCCTATCAAGATGGTTTTGTTTTGTTTTTTTACCACTGCTCAAAACACTTTCTGAACTCATTGATTTTGATACTCTTCAGAGCTTCTGCTGTTTTTTGCTTCAGCCCTTCCACATCAGCAAAAGGTTTCTCTTTGAGGACTTTTTTCATCCAAGGAAACAAACAAAAAAAAAGTTGTTCCAGGTAGGACTAGGTGAATAGGGAGGGTGGGACAGGGGAGCCATGCCTTTTTTTTTGTCAAAAACTGTTGAACACTCAGCACATGGGCAGGTGCTCTTCTAAATTCCCCTTCATGAAAATGGGTAAACATGTTGAAAGAGTCTTAAAAAATAAATTCACTGAAGCCACACAGCCTCTCACAACAATGCCAGCTAGTACACTGATACAGATGGGTTCCTAGAACACTCACCTAGCAGGGGAAACCCGCACTACAAGGGGCCTGCCCTCTGGAAGATAATTCTGTTTTTTGAGGGTTCCCCCTTCATATGTATGGTTTTGGAATATCTTTTTTGAATCCGCTGAAACTACTTCTTATTGCAACCTTACTGATTTCCTTACTAACTCATGATTTCAATTCAGCCTTTGATGTGTGTTCATCATATATTTGTAGAAAAATAATTATTTTACCTTTTCTGAAAATTATTCTTAAATAATGGACATTTTCTCAATAATGTATGAATAAAACATTCTTTAGGAAATAATGCTATTTTTGCTGATCTGCAACTACAGTCTAATTAAAAATTATGTTCTCTCTGCAAATGCTTCTTTAAGACCTAATTACTATAACAAGTTAGTTCAAGGACTTGCCTTTCTGTGCCCCCCTGGAGGAAACAAAGAATTTCAGTTTCAGTCAGATGTCAGGGACAAGTTAGACACAGGTGCGAAACTTCTAGTTTTCACTCTGCCCACTATAGAAAGAGATGTCTCAATCCCCAGATATAAGATAGATAAGAAGTGTCTCTTTCTCTCTCTAGGTTTCTCCCCACCACACACAAAGAGAGGAGATTTGGAGTCATGTTCCTATCAATTAGCAATTCTATAGTCTCTTATATTTGAACCACAGCAGGTGAGAAGAGACACATGGGAATAAAACAGAATCTTCACACTGTACTCAACACATAAAAATAAATTGTTCTGAGCTCTGCAAACATCAGTCCTTGCAGGCTTCATCATCTTTATCCTAATATGTAATCACTCCCAGAACTTGTTACACATCTTCAGCTTTTGGCCTGTTGTGCAGAATTATGGGCTTTTGAATAAATGGTCAAGAGGATCTTCTCCTTCCAGCTCTGTCACTGGTCATTTTGGAGCTTTCAATCTTCATCTGTAAGAACAAGTTAATGGTTATTGAACATGTTAAATAAGATATATTGAACAAAATAACATATACCAAACCTCTGTGCAAACTAACAGCTCTATAAAACTTAGCTTCAGTTGCTTGACTTCTCAGTTTCTTTATCTTCAAGCGGAACAATAATGGTAAGAACAGTCCCTGACACCATGCTTAATAACTGTTAGCAATTGATATTATAAATGTAAATTGCACAGGGTGGGGGGCGGTGTCGAATTTTAAACATCTTGTCTCTAACAAATCCTAGCACCTTGCACCCAGCTGGATACATCTGAGGGAGATTTACGAACTAATCTTCTAACCCCACTCCCGACACCCCCACCCCAGCACGCACTGCAGGGGCGCTAGAGTGCAGGACAACCACAGTCCGGAACTCAAAGCTCGGGGCGCTGAGGCGCCGGAGCTCCTTTGCGCTCGGACTCGGTATCCGGAAATGGGGAGGGCGGTGTCAGCGCTACTGCTGGAAAAGGCTGTCAGGGGAAGATGCTGCTGGATTTGTCCGAGGAGCATAAGGAGCACCTGGCCTTCCTGCCGCAAGTGGACAGCTCGGGTCAGGGGGGGCGCGGCAGTGGAGGGTGGTGTTCTGTGGTCTGGGGAAGGAAGCAGAGGGAGCGCCCCTTGCTCATGATCTCCTGGCTTCCATTGCAGTGGTCGCCGAGTTCGGTCGAATTGCGGTGGAGTTCCTGAGGCGAGGCTCGAACCCCAAGATCTACGACGGTGCCGCCAGTAAGCAGGGCAGTGGCGCGGCCCTGCAGGCTGCGCGGTGGAAGTGCTTGCCATTCTCTATAGTCCTGGGGAGAAAGAGGTTACTGCGATTCCGAGGGCCTTGATCCCATTGTGGTAGAATAAAACCAGAAGGGCTCTTCAGTCAGGGCGCACATCTTGCAGGTCTCCTAAGTAGCTGTGAGATTTTTAAAGCTTCTATTAAGTCTACTTCTTTGTGTGTAAAATAGACATACTACCATCTGCCAGAGATACTCTAAGACTTACCTTTCATCAAATGCGTGGAATAGTTCAGTAAGTGTTTGGTTATTATGTTCACGCATCTACTTTTGGCCAAGTATTGTTTTTTCCCCTCTGGCCCAGGGGCAATTTCTCAGATTAAGCCAATCCCGTTTGAGATCCTCTTCTGCCAGGCTCGAAGGAACTGTGCCTTCAGGAGAAGGACGTGCCCCAGGTGCTAGTCTCTAGGCATCTGCATTTTGTAAAGGTTAGAAGGTGGGAAATACTGAAACCATTTGGCTGAGAGTGGAGTACAAACAGGAGGCTATTACCAACTCATTATTATTAATTGCAGTGTTTGAAAAAAAAATGAAATAATGGATCATATTTATTTTTAAATAAGAGTTTGAATAAAAGGATAAATATCACCCAATAAGGTATTTGCTCATTTTTCCTTTTTTTCCTCAGGAAAACTCAATGTGAGTCGTGACACTGTCCAGCATGGTGTGGAAGGATTAACATACCTCCTCACTGAAAGCTCAAAGCTCATGGTAAGGGCCCCTGCAGACTGCCTTGCACAGTATTACCCGAACCTTGAGAAGGTCATGTAAACTCTACATCATAGCCCTGGCGGGTACCTACTTATTTCAGTAATTTTGTTCATGCTTTATAATTGACTTGGGGAAGCCATGCCTAAACAATATGACTATAACAATCTGCTGATATGAATACATCATGTTAGTATAAATTAGAGTTACCTCTAATTCTGCATATTATTTAACCATATACGATAGTATGTATCCTCAGAGGAGGGAGAACATGATGATTTATTGTACTTTTTGTTTGCATATTAGCAGTATGTGGCTTGATGAAAAATAGGAGAGAAAGTTGGGCATTTTAATAATTCTTTTTTATACTTTAGTAAAGTATTTATATATATCAGAAACTCAAATTTTAAAATAGTGGGCAAGGATTGCCTTTACTTAAAGGGTGTTGATTCTTTTACTAGACAGAAAAGAATTAGGGGATTTTATATTCTTTTGTGTATATCAACTATTTTAGCATTTACTAGACAAAGATAAATTTTGATGTTCTGTTAAACTCATTTCACTTTAGATTTCTGAACTGGATTTCCAAGACTCTGTTTTTGTTCTGGGATTCTCTGAAGAGTTGAACAAATTGTTGCTTCAGCTCTATCTGGACAACAGAAAGGAGATCAGAACTATTCTGAGTGAATTGGCACCAGACTTCCCCAGTTACCACAGCCTTGAATGGCGACTAGATGTACAGGTATGACTGCTACTGCTGCTGCTGCTGCTTCTTTAATCTAAATTAGAATACAACATTTACTTTAGGTATATGTCCTCAGGCTTATTGTATTCTTTACCTCCTAAACTAAACTCTGGTTTGAAACTTCAGTTTTTTTAATGCTCGTTTTTGGGCCATTTCACAAATAGTTCATTTTCTTATTTTTTTTTAAGGTATCAAATCAGTTTAATTTGGAAATTTGTAAGTAATAGGTTATTTTGGAAAAGGAGATGGCTATGCAGATTTTTTAGAGTGATACTTAGATTTTTAAAAACTTTTAAAATAAATACACATACATAAAAGTGCACAGGTCAGTGAATTACCTCATGGTGAAAACACCCATGAAATCAACACTTGCCCATGACCAGCATCCCAGGAACATCCTCCTCGCCTCCTACCACTTACTCACCTTTCCTTGTTTTCTCACTTCCAGTACATACGTACTTTTGCTGCCCTTTAGCTTTCTATATATGGAATGATTCAGCAAATGTTCTTTTGTGTCTGGCTTCTGTACACATTATATTTGTGAGATTCAGTTCTGTTTAATATAGATAACCCAAGGGGAGTTTTCAGACTATTACATGTAGCCCTTATCAAGCAGAGACAAATTAAAAGATTTATTGAATGTCACCCATTTGCTGATCAGTGCATTGCTAAATGCTTTAGGAAACAAAAGTGTAAGGTGCTTTTTTAGCTGGAAAAAAATATTTAGTAATATTAGATGTTCTCAAAATAACTAGTAAATAGTGGTAGTTGTAAAATGTGGTTCTGGAGGAGGAAAATGAATAGAATTGTGTAACTCAAGGTACAACTGAGTAACTCAAAAAACCTATAGCTCAGGTAGTTCAGTTCATTGTACACAGGAATGATCCAGAAAAGCTTCAACAAAAGAAGGTGACATTTCAGAAGGATATATAGAGAAAACCAGGGTGAATGTTCTTGACAGGGGAGACTATGTAAGCTGTAAAGGTCCACATACAGATGGGAATGAGCATGTTGAATATTTGGTAGCCTAGCCAAACTTGACTGCATGTTGTAATGACCTGGGAGCTTTTAAAAATTCTATGTTCCATCCCCCCAGAGATTCTGATTTATTGATACAGGATATGGCCTGGGCATCAGGATTTTTATAAGCTCCCCATTCACCCAGGTAATTCTAATGTGCAATACAGTTTGTAAACCACTGTTAGAGTGGATTCTTCCCGGTTTGAACAGCGGTAAGGTGGTCCAAATAGGTTATAGAAATTCAGTTAGAAGAGTTTAGCAATTATAATCTAATGTGATGAGTGCTTGAACAGATTATAGATTCCATGAGGGCAGGTACTGTATCTTGTTGACTACTGTGTCCCCAGCACAATGCCTGGCACATAATAGGCATTCACTGCTAAATATAAAAATGGTGGGGAGGGAGGTGGAGGGGATAGTGGTGGTAAGCACATTCTTAAATTAATTTATCAAATATTTTTTGTATCCATATCATATGATATGGATACAGCAAAGAACAAGGTACAGTTTGTGCTCTTGGAATCATCATAAGCAGCAAGTCCTATAGAGTTTATGGGGAGGAGATCACTGGTTAAGCCTTTTTGTTTAGGTCCTTTCATAATAACCAGGTGGAAGAGAAGTGGAGATGGTCATGTTCATGAGGTTCAGCAGTAATTTATCTTTTACATCTTTACCTCTTTGTGTGGGGGGTGGGGGATATCTCCTGACTCTCAGGGTCTGGTTCCTTAGAAGTTCCTTTTTCTTTTTTTTTTTTTTTTGTCTTTATTGATTGACTTTTGAGTTTTTCCATTATGAAGACATTTTTAAAAGTTAAACAGTTAAACAATTGAATTTTCCAAAATTAAACTCAAGAGAGCTTATTTATCCAGTGAAGTGAGTTTGAATAGCTGTGTTACTGCTAGGATTAATACAGTCTAAAGTTGAGGGTATACTGAATGAATATTGACTCATGGTGAAATGCATTTCAGTGCTAAAAAAGCTACCAAATGTCTAATTGATTTTAACAGCTTATTAGTAGAAATTATTACAAGGAATTTTTTAAAAGATTTTATTTATTTATCTATTTATTTTTAGAGAAGGGAGAAGGAGAGAAAAAGAGTGGGAGAGAAACAACAATTGGTTGCTTTTTGTAGAGGGACAAAACCCGCAACCCAGGCATGTGCCCTGTCCAGGAATCGGACTGGTGACCTTTTCCTTTGCAAAAGAACGTCCAACCATGGATGACCTCCATGTCACACCGGTCAAGGCAATATTACAAGGAATTTTTAACTGGAAGGGATTATTTTGCTTATGGGAGGAAGAATTGTCAAATGAAAACCAGCTAAAAGTCTAGGAAACTAGTAACAGGATACAGAACCTTTCATTTTTGAGTAACTGATTTGTCTCATGGAGGCTGGTAATGAACAGATAGTTATCATCAAATTATTGTGCAATTGCTTATGGGGAATGAATCCATCATCATAGTTTAGTTTCTAATAAACCGATGCCTTTGTTAATGGCATCAGTTAAGTTAAATGCATCTGAGGTTGGTGGAGAAGGGTTACCTTTAGGACTGATTTATTTAAAGTTGCTATTATTATTTTTACAGGAAGAAAGGACAGAATTTTTATGCCCACTGAAAATAAGTTCATATCAAGAACTTTCTGTGATACTGTTCTTTATCCTGTAGTATTACTACTGACTGTCATTCCAATTTCTTTCTGAGAAAAAATCAGGACTAATTTTATTTTACTAGGTCTTTGTTAGGGATATTATGTAATCTTTATCTAGAAATATTAAAGAATGGTACAGATAATTATCTTTAAAGGTTATTTAGATATCCTGGTTATCTAAAAATGGAAGGATAGATTTGATTGACCTTAGTCTTTCAACAAAAAAATTCATAGCTTAATTGCACACCTAGATATGTTTGGTCCCTATCAGCACAGATATAGGGGGAAAAAAGAAGTATAAACTATGCATAATTGAATGAATAAGTTGTATTTTTAGTAATCATATTTATTACCATTTGCCTTTCTATAATGTTGAATACTAGAGAAATAATCTTACAGAGATAATTTACCTTACAAATACATATTTAATGTTTGGGGACTAGCTTCACCCAAAGCGTGTTTCCAAATTATTTTGAGACACAAAATCTCAGCTTTGGATCAGTATTTGGGTTCCTTTGGATGCACAAATGACCTAGAATTAATTGGAAGAAGTTATCAGGATATTTTATGTTGTAGTATTAAGTTAATCCTGAAATCTTAGATTTAGATTTGTTACTCACTGAAGTCTCTTCAATCTGGCTTCTTGTCCTTTGACACTACTCCAGTAGTTTTAGATAACAATCATGTTCTCTTATATAACAAGATGTTTCAGGTTCATCTTGTATAATTCTAGACCTAGACTTGAATCAGCTATTCAAGGAGGTCCTGGTTCCTTTTAAGGGAGAATGATATTTAGAGAACACACTCTGGTGGGAGGGTTAAATACCATAGTTTCCAAGTTGGTCATTGTTACTAGTGGTTACTTTCTTTTAAGAACATCAATAGTACTTATTTTTTAAATTTTGGGATGTATCCTACAAGCAAAAGATTTTAGATATTCAATTTAAAGAAAAAGAATAAAACTAGTACCCATTGCCAAGCTTAAGAACCAAAACAAAACCAGTACCTTTGAATCTCCCTTTCTAAGTCAGAACTCTCTCCCAGGAGGCTTGAGGTAACCACTGTACTGAATTTTGTTATTTTTTACTTATAGTTTTTTTACACACATTTTTTCAGTACACTGTATTTTTTAGATTTTCATATATTCTGCAACTTGCTTTTTTCATTTAATTTTTTTTTAGATTTATCTATGGTAATTCATTTTGCTGTAGTATATTTCCTTTTGCTGCCAGTAAACATTTCATTGTATGAACATTTTCAATCTATCTATTCTCTTAAAGAATATTTAAAATGTTTCTAATTTTTGACTCTTAGCTACAAATACTATTATGAATACATGTATATGTGTAAGAGTTTAGGATATATACCTAAGAGTGGAATTACTGGTAATACATACTATTTTTCTTTTTCTTTTTTTTTTTTTTTTCCCCCCAAGGGCTGTCAGGCTACAAACATTGGGGCGGCGTGGGATCTATTTTTCAAAGTGATTCTCTCATCACTCTGACCTTAGTGGATGAGAGTTTCCATTCTGTAACTTGCAGTGCTCCATATGGACAGCTTTGTAATTCATGCTAGTCTGATATGTGTAAACAGTATTTTATGGTTTTATTGGCTATTTTTTTGATTCCTAATAAAGTTGAACATATTTGCCTGTGTTTATCTATTTGTGTTACTTCTTTTGTTCAGTGCTTGCTTAGGTCTTCTGTATGTTTTTTCTCTTGATTTTGTGTATCAGAGTAGTTCATGCATTTTTGGATACTAATCTTTTTTTGGTTATATGTGTTACCAAATAACTTCTCTAATTTTGTGGTTTGTCATTCCGTCATCTTTAGGTATCCTTTGAAGAAAAGTTAATAATTTTAATGTAGCTAAATTTGACACTTTTTTCATTATGCTTTGTGCCTTTTTTATATCATGTTTAAGAAATCTTTCCAGCCCTGGCTGGTGTGGCTCATTGCATTGAGCACTGGCCTACAAAATGAAAGGTCGTTGGTTTGATTCCCTGTCAGCACATGCCTGGTTTGAGGGCTGTGTCCCTGGTTGGGGGCATGTGAGAGGCAACTGATCTATCACATGTTTCTCTTCCTCTCTGTCTCCCTCTGTTCCTCTCTCTCTAAAAATAAATAAAATCTTAAAAAGAAAGAGAGAGGGAGAGAGAGGGGGGAGGGAGGGAGGGAGGAAGGAGAGAAGGAGGGAAAGGAGGGAGGAAGGAAGGAGGGAAGGAAGGAATCCTTTCACACTATAATGTTGCATATATATTCTCATTTCTTTTTTTCCCCACAAAAAGTTTTAAAGTTTATTCCCTGACTGATGTAGCTCAGTGGGTTGGGCATCATTGGGCATTGTCCTGCAAACCAGAAGGTCACCAGCTTGATTCCTGGTCAGGGCACATGCCTGGGGTTGTGGGCCAGGCTCCCAGTTGGGGGCACATGGGAGTACACTGATCAATGTTTCTCTCTCACATCAATGTTTCTCTTTTTCTCCCTTCCTTCCCTTCCTCTAAAAATAAAGGAATAAAATCTTTTGAAAAAAGTTTTAAAGTTTACTTTTCATTTTGAAGTCTGTGATTTATCTGAAATTTGGTTTTTGTGTATGGTATGAGGTAATTATAAATGTTACATATTCAGCATGACTATTAAATAGTTATTATGTTCTTACTCCATTTAAAATCAAGCTTGCAAGCAGGAGCCTCAGGCAACAGATAAAACCATCAGTGACTCTAAAACTGCATCTTAATCAGAACGGAGATCACAACACCAAAGTTCTGCAGACGGACCCAGCCACCCTGCTCCATTTGGTTCAGCAGTTGGAACAAGCATTGGAGGAGATGAAAACAAACCACTGTAGGAGAGTTGTGCGCAATATCAAGTAGTCTCAGTTTTAAGATTAATTCCCTTTGAAGTGCTTGTGAATTAATGATGTGCAGCAGTTACTTTTAAAAGCTTTTTTTAATTAATTGATGATAACTACATATAGATTCTATGAAAGTTCTTTTCCTATCACAAGATGTTAGGTCATGTTCAAAGGCTAACGTAAAGTCCCTTTCCTGGTGCTAAATGTGGTCACCTTTTTGACAAATTAACATGTATTTTATATTTTAAATGTGTAAATAAGATTGAATCAACTGGAAATGAATCTCTACTGTTCATGTTATCTGTATATATGAATGCCTATCTTTTCTTTAGTAGTTATTTTGACTGCTTAACTTTGTTATTTTCCTCCTCATTGACCAAAATGTGAAAATAAAATTCACATTATAATAATGTTTCTAGACAATTCAGTGTTTTTGATCTTTGAAAGCAACCCATGGATGTTAAATAGCTACAGGATAGTTGGAAAGACATATAAAAATTTTAAAATGCTATATTGTTTAGGCAGTTCATGCATTTTTCTTTGCATGTGAAGATAAGTACTTGCCATGTTGCTTACGTTTGAATTGTCATGGCTAATTTGTTTAAATATTTAGTACTCAAACTTGTGCAATCATATATTGTACTTTGTCAAGGACTGTTACCCTCCCACCATAGTACTCAAAGCATCTAAGAAACATGCTGTCTTTACATTTATAAACAATGCATGCATGAGTAATATAATGGATGCATAGTTATGTGGATAAAAACTACAGTCATTTTTATATTTTTGTTTGAATAAAGTATAAAGAAGGAAAGGGAGATCATATTTACTACATTTCAGACAAATATCCCTCCTTACAACTGGATTTTTGTTTTGGTTATTTTTAGTAGGTAACTATAAGCTATTAGCCTCAAAAACTCAGGTGCTGACATGTCAGGTCAGCTTGGTAGAGTGCAGGGCCACAGGGAAACTTAAGGAGAAAAGGGGACTTATGAAGTCATGGAAGGGTGGAAATGGGGATTCAGTCTTAAATATGTATTTGGGGCCTCATTCTGAGGGGCTCATCCCCATGGAGCCACCCAAGTCTGTGGAACCATCAGACTCTAAGCTGCACTCGAGGCTCTATCAATACTTTGCCTCCTGAGAAAGATTTTCAGGTCCGAGTGACATCATGCTTTCTCTTAGGAGCTAACCTACCAGGAAACATTATTGAAAGAACAGCACAATTGCAGTTGCCACCCATCAGCCCCCTGTAGGCACGTGGGTCACTCTTCCCAAAGTTGTATGTTCTACAGTTGCAAAATACCTATATCAGATATTAGCAAACTAAAATCAAATGATTTTTAATTACAGTGATAATTTGATTAATGAAGCTTTCATACATGACAAAAGGAAACTGTATATTACATGAAATAGTAGCATATATCATACAATTTTAAAGCAATATGCCTGTCAAACTTGGATGATAAAAATAACTCTGAAGCTTCTTATTTGTCCGTATTTGGAGGAAGATAAGCAGGACTGACCCCAGGGCAACCTTTCTTCCCCTTCTAGCAACTGTTCTTACCCCAATCAAAACAAGAAAGCACGGGTTAATAGTCTCTTTTCATTTGTATCACTTTCCTGGCCTCCTCTCTCTCCCCCATTATTCCTTCTGATGTCCTGCCTGCTTCGCCTTTTTGGGCCAGAGTGAGTTGGGAGCAGTCTCCTGACATCTTTTTGAACCTGGGGCTTACTTTTTAGCACAGCCCATTGAGTGAGCCTCTTCCTTTTTTCGTGTGAACATTTTGTCCCTTATCGACAACTCTGCCTTGCTGGTTTTATGACACATTTGATTTTGTGTATGTGTGTGGCTTGTATGTGAACATATTCTCTGCAGATATGTTCACCCGTCCTGCATGATCAAATTTCTTGACACTGGGTAATATGCCATTCTATCTATTATTATCTAAATTCTTATTAAAACATTTGGATTATTAGTAAGCTGATTTTTCAGGACTCACTGATGCATGTTTAGACTAAACTCGTATCTTTCATGTCTCAAACTTAGAGGTGCAAGTAGGAAATAATAAATGTATCAAAAAGTCTACATATACTTCATCCACTGGAAGTCTCTGTTACAAGATTTCAGTGAGCTTGTCTGTCATTAGTGTTTCCAGGCTTTGACAAATTTGAAGCAGCAAATTGGAAAGGTGGTGGAGAAATGGTAAGAAGGAAATATACTTGGGAAACTGAAAGAACCTGACAGTAAGGAAAGTTTGAAAAATCATTAAGTGTCTGTGTAAAGGATGTATGTATGGGGGGCTCTTACCCCTATGAAAAAGTTGAGGCCAGCCTTTGGAGCTGGACGGAAGAGTTTGAATTTAGGTCCCTGATAAATTCCCAAAGCCTTGTTTTCTTCATCTCTAAAATAGGAATAACACCTATTTTATTGGCTTATGAGGACTAAATGAGACTATGTATATAGAATGTTTAGCACAGTCTGAGGTAAATACTCATGTGGACTGACATCTCATTATTTTATGGCCTTGAATTATGTCCCATATACACCGGGAGATAATTCAAGAAACAGAAAAGATTATCTGGTGACTTCTGGGTGGCAGTATTACAGCTGTTTCTTTTCCTTCTTAATTTCTGTAGTGAGTTTAATAACGCATTAAAAACAACTTTTTGAAATCTGAAGTAAGGAGAAAAATTAGGGAATTTAAGTAGATTTTTAATAATATTTTTATCCAAAATTTTAGTTCTTGGAATGATATGTACACACATAGCTCTCCAGAAAACTCAGCTATTCAAAACTACTTAGCCCTCAAAGAGCTCAGGTGGTCAGGCTAAGGGTTTTACAGAGAGACTTGGCCTAGAGTCTTTATTTTTTTTCCCCTACTAATGGAAAAAATGTGGGAAGCTCAAGGCAATATCTAAGCCAGTTCTCTTTTTTTAAGGTAATAATATTTCATCTAACTGAAGAATTACCTGTGTTTTTAGTCTCCAAAGGAAAACACACAATACTTCTTTGTAGTTTTGTACAGCCCTTATAGGCAGGAAGTTCTGTCAGCTACTATATTAAAGTCTCCCTGCTATAATTTACTCAATTGTCTCTGTACTTATTTTATAAAATACATGTTTGATTAAGTCCCTCCTTAATTTACCCTTCCACAGTTTCCATAATCCTACGTTACTCTCCTCTCTTTTGTTTCACAAATGGTAGGAAATATTTTGGTAAAAAAGGTATCATGACATTGCCTCTAATTTAAATATATTCACTTTTTAAACCACTGTGACTGTTATGTTCAAACTTGAAAACTTATTTTTAAAAACAAGCCTAACTCATTATTAATGTGGTTAGTTCAGTGAGCTTTACAAACTTTGAAAGTGATCTTATAAAAGCAGAATAAGCCCATTATTTCTCAGCTTTGCAAAACAGTATACTATGGAGATGAAAAAACAATGATATACTTTATTGCAATAAAGTATATATTTAATGGTTTGATCACTGAATAGCAGTGGCTCTTTGTTCTATGTTTATATAATTCCACTCTTCTCTGCCAGAGAACTCAAATGACTTAATTATACTTGATAACCACAAGTCCATAAGATCCTACTTACCATAATGGGGAAACATAGGAAAACTAATTCTATGTCCTTAATAGGCTTAATCTGAAAAGGAGCATGAAGAACACAAATATCTGCATTAATGTACTCAGTGGCTTTTACTCGGGTTATTGGTTTTTTAAACACAAGCGACTTTAGGTTTTTTCAAATAATTATTTTGTATGTTAGGTTTGTTATTAGGAATATCACTAATAATGTGGCCATTGGAGGTGGAGGCCTTGCTCTTTTACTGTGCTTGAACCAAAAGTGGTGCTTTTTAATTGCAAAGACTGCACTTTCACTTTCTTTTGCGGTTATATCTTCTCTTGCAGAACAGTCTTCCAACAACCAGCTAAAAAGAGAGACAACACAGAAAAAAGAAACAACACAAATTTTTTTTCCCCCTTTGTCACAAACCATGAGGTCTTCTACTTTTATTCTTAATTTTTCTTGCTCTTTGACTCTTCTACATTGAGCTGTAATTCACCAGTTTATGTAGGGCATTGTGTTGACAGGAAAAACAAAGCAAATTTGAAAACCTTTTATAGCTCTTTTTGATAATGGTACTGACTCAGTTTTGTTAAATATTTATTAAGTGCTTAGAGTGATTCATGTTATGTGTCGAACAAAGGATAAAGTCCTGGTCTCAGTTTAGAATGCTCTCATGCTAGTCCATCCTATCCAATCCTTGAAAGCAGTTTAATCCATAAACTCATTAGGCTGCAGAAATGAATCTCCTAAGTGGGCTATTCTGAAAAAAGGGAAGCTCCTCCAGACTGCTGTCTAATGAAACTTCTTTTCCGTGAAACTCCATCTTCTTCTGGAAGGCAAACACTAACATGATTCAATGACTAGAGGTGTAGAAATGTGCAGGGGAAAGAGTAGATCACTACAGAGTATTGTGGAATACCTGGGCATGGTTAGAATACCAGAAATTATCTTTGTTCCTTTTCCACTGAAGTGGGGTTCCCTGAGGTAACCAGAGGTGTGATGGGAAAAGCAAATTGAGTTCTTTTTTTACCTGCGTGCCAATGTGGTGATTGTTCAAAATCCAATGGAAAGTGGATGCCTGTGGTTTTGAAGGAATGTGCTTAGTTCACAGAACGAAAAGGCTTCTCAGTTAACTCAAAGACTAAAAACACACAGATTAAAATTCAGAGAATGAGGAAAAGAAAATCCGGGGGAGTCTTTGAGTTTCATTGGGGCAAGTATAGATGGTTGGGATATAATATCCTGGCCTGGTCTGCCAACTGTGCTTTTATTCCAAATAAATAAAAAGTTCTTACAAAGCTCAAGTGAGTTTAACTGCTGCAACATAATAAAATTGCTTGATTTGCAGCTGAGACGTCTGTACAATTCATAGATTAAGAGAACTAAGAAAAGGCTGCAGGTGACTTTTTTAGTGCTTAAAGGGCAAAAATGATTTGTCTCATGATATGAGCAATGTAATAAAAGCTTTTTTAAAAAATATTTAGACTCTAAGGAGGTAATTACTGGGTATTTTTTTTCCTATGCCTTTTTTCTCCCATTCTTTGTCTTTGCTTTGACATAAATACCAAATTTGTACCTTTCTTAGGCCCTGAGAACAATTATTTTCATGCCAAACCTCTCATTAAGCTTCTTCCCTCCCTTTAATATTTTTATTTTTGAGAAATAATTCACATAAAAGTCATCCTTTCAAAGTGTACAATTCAGTGGTTTTTAGTATGTTCACAAAGTTGTGCAGCTGCCATCACTATTTGACAGAACATTTTCATCACTCCAAAAAGAAACCCATATCCATTAGCAGTCTCCACTTCCCCCTCCCACCAGCCCCTGGCAACCCCTCATCTCTCTGGATTTTTCTCCTCTGGACATTTCACATAAGTGGAATTATATAATATATGGCTTTTTGTGCCTCGCGTATTTCACTTAGCATACTATTTTCAAGATTCATGTTGCAGCAGGTGTCAGTATGTCATACCGTTTTTTGTGACTGAATAATACTCTATTTCTGTGGATATGCCCTTGCTTTTTACAGTATTTGAGCCTTATCCCTGATCTTGCAATGAAACTAATCTGTAATATTTTATTATATAATGTTTACAAGAGAACCTTTGACAGATTTAGTAATGTATTTTCTGCAATGATCTTCTGAAATTATTTTCCCAGATTCAAGTTAGAAAAGTCTGAGAGCAAATACTAAGTCAGTTATTAGTAGAGTTATTTTCCAGGGAACTGAGTGCTTTATTTTTAGTCTTATCCAAAAGTTACGCCAGGTAGGTAGCTAGTCGGCTAAACTGTTGAAGAGACTCTTAGCTGAAATCAGCTCCAAAGAAAATCATAGTGTCATTCTTTTTATATTAATATTAAAGATTTCTTACTAAAATGAGGAAAAGTATGTGTACATTTTCTCAATTTACAGAAGATAGGAAAGCAACTAAGGATTTATGTCTTCCTATATTCGTTTTATATATTTTTCATATTAGATAAAACTATCAACAATTCATAAAAATTGTAGTGGGATGAAGAAAAAGGCATTTACTTTTGCTTAAGTTCACACCTGAGAATATTTCTGAACTAATTTTGAAACAGTGCACTGAGCAGTCTCTTGGACACTGTTCTCCAGATGATGCTGTTGCTGCAGCCACTGCTCTGGGGTTCGTAGGCCCATGGAGGAAATGGGAAGGTAAGCAACATAATTCAGTCAAAGTGTGAAGGCATACAATAAAGAAGAAGCTCTGCCTACATAAGAGAAGAAGTGAGTAGTTCTCATGAGGGACATCAGGAAGGCACTTTTTACCTTGATCATTTTTGCTGTTTTGGTAATTGC